CCCACCACCACCACTGCAAGGCAGGGCTCGGGGCATGGAGAGGTCCTGTGGGGTCAGGGCTGGGGATCTGCTCTGGAGCCTGGGATCCAGGGCCCCCAGGCTTGTTAGGGGCTGGTGGCAGAGTGATATGGGGACATCCCCCTCCCCCCCCCAGCTTTGCAGGGGTTGAGGGGAGGGGAGGGGGGCCAACTTCCTTTCTTCCCCCATCTCCAGCCTGGGGTTGGGGTTGCCTGCAGGCTGTAGCTGCCCCCATTCCCCTGATGCTCTCCTCTTTCTCTCTGTAGGAGGCTGCTGTGGACCCGCTGTTCTCCAGGAAACCATCGTGGGGGGTTAGGTGCATTCTTCATACCCCCCCACTTCCCACTGCTGGCATCCCTGGAGCAGGCCTGGGTGGCATCTGCTTCCTTGGATGCACCTGGGTAGAGCTCCCCTGCATCCCTCAGAAGAGGTGGCTGCTGCTGACGCCAGGATCCGAGCCGCCCTATCGGGGGCCTCCCAGGCAGGAGCAGGGCAGGTGAAGCCTGAGGATCACAGGGCAGGGAGTGGGGGGGGTAACCCAGGGCCAGGATCCCCAGGCAGCAATCCCCTTTGGGCCATGCTGATGCCCCTCTGAGCCACCTCCCCCTCACTCCCTAGCCCAAGGCCTCCCACTGCTGGCAGCCAGGACAGGGACCCCCCTTTTTACCTCCCCCCCCACCCCTAGGCAGCCCCCAGAGGTGCGCATCGCAGTGCAAAGCAGCAGCCCAGCCAGCGGTCTCCAACAAGCCCTATCCTTGGATCCCCCCCGGAGCGTTACCTGGCTTGGTGGCGGGGGGAGGCGAGAGTGTGGCTGGGGCTCCCTGGCGGTGGGGGACGTTAAGATGGTGAAAGCTCCCCAGCCGAGAGCAGCTCCGTGGACTCCAGGCCACCAGGCTGGGGGGCAGCAGCATGGACAGCGCCGCCTCGCCCGGGCACCCCAGCAGCTGGTGAAGGATGAATGCGCGGGGCTCGCAGGACACGCAGCCCAGTGACGACCCCGGCAGCGGCAGCAGCAGCAGGAGCCACAGCGAGAGGGAGCGGATCCGGAGCCGTATGAAAATGGTGATCGGGCAGCTGGAAGGGATCCTGCAGGAGCTCAAGGAGGTGGCCAAGGAGCTCCGCGAGGTAAAGGCACCAGGGAAGGCAGCGGCCGGGTTGGGGGCATGTGGTCTCCTCCAGCAAACTTTAGGAGAAGCATCGGTTGGCCTGGAGCGGGATCCACTGGGTTCTGCTGGCTATATGTGTCTGCTCAGGGTTGGTTGAGTGTGTCGTGTCCCCCCCCCCCCCCCCCCCCCCAGGGAAAGATCACCGTCCCTGTCCAGCTTCGCGGGCGGTAG